CATATGATTCATCTAACTAAAAGAAGTCCTAGATGAACTAGATTGTTGAAAAACGAAGTGGGGGAAAGAAAAGAAGATCTCATTCTCACTGCTGCGTGTTGATATCTAGGAGATGGTGAGACACCTGGAGCAATTGCCCATTCCCAACGACCATCCCTGTGTTTCGCAAGTCCATATGCACTTGCCAGTGGCTGAGAAAATAATCAGAGAGAGAAGAAATCATGAAGAGAGAATCTAATGGTGCAAAGGGATGTAAACATTTTAAAGGGGCAAAATTAGGACATAAATTGCATGCATATCAGCTCAATCTTTTAAAAATTCATCATTGCTATTATTTTCAAACCTCAGAATTCATTAGAATGCCCCTCTCCCTACGTACACAGATAAAATGTATATACAGATTAGGACCAACACTTACTCAGATTATTTGAACTTCTCCCCAACTGAACAGCGAAAACTACCCAAAAGCACTAATAATTGACAAGATAAACCTATAGGTTATGAAATCCTCTGCCATATTGTTCAGAAAACTAAAAATTTTAAGAAAAAGGAAAAAATGCCATTTATTTACTAAATCTAGACACCACAGAATGCAAATTTCTATACATACCACACTGTTTGCATCCCTCCCTCCACAGAGCAGAAGAAGACCGTCTGAGCGTGCACTTGCAGTAGCATACCTAGTTAAACAAAAATTGTCAACAAGGAATTAGTCTACAATCACCTTGGTAAACCATCATAAAAAAAATACAAAACAATAAATAGTACGCAAGCTTGGCATCATCATTTCTGAGACCATAAATAAGACTATGAGCTTTAGCATACAATTATGTAAAAACTTTAAAATCAATATGCTATGAAGGAAGAAATGCAGACAGATCATAGATACAATAATAGCCATCATGTCCAACCAAATATAAAGTAAAGATAGGCATATATGGTATCCATATCACAAAGGTGACTATTACTGTTTTTCATATCATGCATGCTGCTACTTCTCAGAGACCCAAAACTATAAAATAGAAAAGATTGTATAATCTAAGATTGATGCTGAAGCACGAACACCAGTCTGCAAGTTTGTGTGAGAGAGAAAGATAGATTACATGCATGGTGGCGGACCTTCCCCTTCAGGTTCCAATTTACGCCATTCATAAGGCTTGGCAGCAGTGTCCAAGGCCCATACATCAGCCAAAGGTCGCTTTCCTAGTAATTATGCACCAAAATTTTTCAACAAAGAATTCACTAGAAAGTTTCCTGAAAATCTGTTACATGCAACAAAAATGGAAAAACAGATTACTTACCATCATTCCCACCAATCGCCATGAGATACCTTTGCCCCACCAAAGCCATCACATGTCCATAGCGTGGCCCTGGGCCAGGGCCTTGAACAACAACTCTGAAATATCATAGAAAATTTAAATAAAAAGACCAAACTTAACGCTATAAATAAGGTGCAGGTACAAGCATTGTTTAGGGTCAAACCTATGCCACCGTGGTCGTTGCTGTGTGAGGTCAAGAACATGAAGATCCTCAGCAGACAAGCCAGCTGGCCCAATCCCACCCTGTGTTATAAGAAGATCCACGTGATGAATTACTATTGAGAAGGAAGAAGTTCGAGAAAATAGAAGGTAAACAGAGAAAAGGTATACTACAGATTGTCGCACTGTGTACTAACCTGAATAACAACCATAGTTCCAACAGCAGTTGCAACATGTGCAGCCCTTGGTGTAGGTGGCTCTCCCAAAGGTGTGATCCTGTGAAATTAATCACATGATAAGCCAAGAAGAATTTAAGGAAGTAAAACAGCAGAAATGAACCCTTAGTCTTAGACTTACCTAGACCATTTATTAGTTAACACGTCATAACAATGCACATCAGCAGTAGCACCTGCTAGTCCTGTAATATAATTGGAATTAAAACAAAAATTTTACGAAACATATGCAAAATTCTTAAGAATTAACTGGTTCAAAGAGGATTAGGGGCGATAACAACAAGGCTTGGCACGCCATATGTTACAAACAGATATCCTGGGGTCCTTAACAAAAATCAAGTAAAATAAGGCCCTAATCACGCATAATTATTGAAACCAATAAAAATACATTATCAAGTTTTACACCATAAAGAGTATGAACGATATGTTGTTGACTCCAAACGTGAAAGATGCTACCATGGCAAATGCCAGTAGCTTTTTTATTTTAAATTGGAACTGTGAGCTGAAAACAGACATATCTCATACAAGCAGTTTTAAAAAAACCAATCAAAACTAGCACCATAAAACATCTTTAAAGAGAATATTGTCTATTTATATTAACTGCACTTCCAGCTCTGTCAGCAAAGCCTGCTCTAGAGACATTGGAGCAAAAAGGTTTTGCAACAGATACTGAAACATCAATTACACACGATTCAAGAAGGAAGAAGTTAAATCACTCCTAGTCTTCCGCCATTCTGTAACACAAAATAAAATTCAATTTGATTTGATTTGATCTGCACTTAGAAAACATAAGGTGTATGCGCAACCTCCAAAATTTCATGCTCCAGCAAGTCAGCAACAATAATTTCAAGTAACTTGGTATTCAACAAAGAAGAACCTTAAAGACAATTATATTTATCTATTATTCCTATTAATGTCTGCCTTCTACTTCCTTTTAGAAGTAACCTCTTCACTCTTTAGAGTATTTTTTTTCTTCACCAATTCCAATAGAAGAAGAAGACAGTTATATGCATTATGAAACTAAGTTGGCCTTGAATTAAGCTATGGTTTCTCACACACATATATCAACATCTATACCTGAAACTAAATCACTTAAAAAGACAATAATTTTAGGCCGTTTTAAGCAACATCAAATCAATATCAAAGGGGGAAATTGTACTGATGCCAGCGCTTCCAGCCGATGATGGAGCTCCTGAAGCAGCAGAATTCCCTTCCAGTGCGGTGGCACCACCAAACAGAATCAATCTGGGCCCAATATAACCAGGCGTCCCTTCTTGCCCCACCGCAGCCACAGCCGTTAAGGTATGACCACACCTAGGGCCGGGGCCATCTTCTTTCTTCTCTATAATCGCATTCACCACCGAATAAGGAGGCGCACATCTCGGCCCCACCACCATCGTTTGAGCCTGTCCTTGACCATCAGGCACAGCAGGTGCGGCGTCCTGCTGCAGCAGAGGAGACGGAGATCCACCAGGCCCCGGCGATGAAGCCTGGTTCTCTAATTGCTGATTTTGCTGTTGTGGATCCCTCTCCATCGACGAGTCCACGTCCATTCCTTTAAAGCTCCCGAACAAAACCTTAGGTTTCAAGATATCGTAAGCAAAGTAAGAATCTTATCTTTCCTCCACGCTAGCGCTCCTTCATTGATCGTGTAAGCTTGAGCTCTAACTTTTCACTGCTCGACTTTTGCACTTATTAATTTCGCCTTAATAGATTGCCAATGAAGATACGAAAGGCGTGAAATTGAAAGCTGTAGAAGAAAAAGCTCTACTCCTTTGCCAATGGCATTCGCTCACCACTGCCGGCTAAAATAATAAATAAAAGCTCTAATCAGGGCAAAACAAGATTGGCCAGCTAATTAAAATCAAATCAGATCAAATTTCCATCTCCGATCAACATTTCGAAAACCCTAGCTCAGATTGTGAATTAACCCACCACCTAAGAAAACACGACAAAGTTTTTCAGTCAAATTTATTTTATTTTTCCATAAAAATAAAGAGAGAAAATTTTTTTTGGGGGGGGATTCTCTTTTCTGTTTTTCTTTTCCTTTTCGATGCTTTTTCTTCTCCCTTTCTCTCTCCCTATAGACCTCGAAGCCGTCGACGAATCAGAGAGAAAAATATTTGAGGTTAAAATATGTCCAAGTTCATTGTAATCTTCATTAATTTTGAATTTAATCCTTTATTTTTAAATTCAAAATTCAAGTATAATGTAAATATTCTTTTGTTAAATTTGTAAATGACATTTCAAAGAAAAAAAAATTTATAACTCGAGAGACATTTGAACAATATAAAAACAATGTCTATTAAAATAAATGTTAATAGTATTATAATTAGATTTGAATTTTTAATTCTACAAATATTAAATTTAAAAATATATAAAAAATCAAAATATTTGATATTAAATTCATAAATTTTATGTATTTTAATAAAATAAATATTAATGTCACGTTTAAGACAGTGAAATAAAGTTCATTAGAAGAATTTAAAACAATTGACCGTCAAAATAACGATTGACATGGTAATTAATCGTAACAGTCAAAATTTAAGTTGATTCGAACATAAAGGGTAGCGTTGGTGGCTTGGTCTGTCCACTTTTCTGTCATTTTCTTTTTTATTGTTCAGTTGATTGTTGTTCCATTTTGTTATTTTCTAGTTATATGTTAACTTATTTATAACAATAGTTTCTTCTTTTCTCTAATAAAGAATATCACGACTATTAATCTCAGTACACATTTCTTCTATTAATCTTATTCTTGATCTTCAATTCTATGAGATTCATTGGTTGCTTGTTTTATTGATGCATGATCTTTATTCATTTGTGTATGATATTTCAATGTCATTAGTCGTTTACTATTCTATTTTATTTATAATTATCTTGAATGCATTTCTTATGTTAATCAAAATAACGTATTTTATAATTTATGCAACCTACGTATCTATTTCAAAAAAAAATTGATTCAGACGTTAAAAAGAAAATGAAAGAAAAATAGAAAAGATATTTTTTTATATGAATTGAAGATTATATCGTTTTGATGTAAATTTATTTTTATAATATTCAAAATGATATTATTTTAATACATGTTAAAATTGAACGACCAAATTAATCTTTTTGAAAATTTATTGAGTAAAATATAAATAAAATTAAAATTAATCGGTGAAATCTATTATTAACCATAAAAAAATGCAGCTCAACCTAATAATTAACAATGTGTATATTTTTTCTCAAAATATAAATAAGACGACCAAATTAGGTTCCCAAACTTCATAAGAAAACAAAAATAGCATCTGAGGAGGCATAGATGTAATTTCATCGAAGCAAAGCAAATTCGGTCAATTCCTGCCTGTGTTCTCGTTTGGTGGGCGACCCCCTCTCTTTATAAACAACAAAATCCAGAATAAACCCAACCTCCCCTTTAATCTTTTGACAACTTTGTAAACAATTCCCATTCTTTTCTTCTTTTCTCTCATCTATTTGTTTTATTAAATTTGATCTGATATTCTTTTTGTTTATGTAATTAAAATCGACAAGGATGTTCAACGGAATGATGGATCCTGAGTTGTTAAGAATCGCTCAGGAACAGATCAGTCGTATGTCACCCGATGAGTTATCGAAGATCCAACAACAGGTTCTTTTTTTTTATCTTTGTTCATTTGTTGTTATAATCTTGTTGATTTTTGTTTTTTTATCAGAATTATCAAACCCCACGTATAATTTAGTAACTTTTATGTCTTTTTTCAGTCTGGGTATTTTGGTTTCTGTGAATTTATGTTGGGTTTCAGTTTTGATTTTACTTTTAATTCAGTAGGAATATATATATATATATATATACAATGTTGAATTGCCTTCTTATTGGTTATATTTGTACCTTTATACGATGTTACATCTCAAGTTACACTCATTTTAATTGAGTTAATTGTCTAGAAAATTAACCATTGTGCTAATATATATGTATGTATGTGTGTATGTATGTATATATATGTATGTATGTATTTCATGAATTTCTTAAGAATCGGGAGTTTGGAATAAAATTAATTCAGCTCACAATTTGTTAGGTTTAGTAATTAATAATGGATTTGAACTACTAGTAATCAGTTTGTACTTAAGTAGTGCATTTTTCTTAGTATATTACATTAATGGTTGATTTGATTGTGGATTCAATGGCATTGCAGATGATGTCTAATCCTGATTTGATGAGAATGGCCTCAGAAAGCATGAAGAACATGAGGCCAGAAGACTTGAGACATGCTGCAGAACAATTAAAGCACACTCGTCCTGAGGAGATGGCGGAGATTGGTGAGAAGATGGCCAATGCGTCGCCTGAAGAGATAGCTGCATTGCGCCCGTGCTGATGCTCAGATCAGTTATGAATTAAGTGCTGCTGAGATGTTGAAGAATCAAGTGAGTTTTTGCCACCCAGCGTCAACATTTCTTTTGTTATTTTCAAACAATCAGATAGATGAAAATGTATGCCCCACAGTAGAATAGTCAATAGATTTTTAGTCCATAATCCTAATGAATGTGATCAATTCAAGCCCCGAAGCTCATAAAAGAGCCACAATACTCAAGTTTTAAAGAATTGAACTCATTGTAAAAGCTTTGATGATATACTATCATACTAAGGGGTGGTCCTAAACCATTGAGTTGTATAACTTAAACACGTCAGTCAAAATTTGAATACAAGTTGTGTGTAAAAAGTGCCAGATCAATTGTGTTAATCGTTAATATATGTATGGCTCATTTGTGGAGGCAATTCATTGCTAGAGATGTACCACATGCATTTTGTTGTGGGACATAAGAAGTCCGTCACCTGCATGACCTTCCTTTTTGTGTGTATCTAAATAACTTATGCTAAATATTGTTGTCGTATGGTAAAATAAGACTCCCCCATCTGTTTCCAAGAAGTGCTGACATAATAATTGTTTACCTCCCTACATTGGATTTAAGAAGAGCTCTGCACTATAGAATTCTTTTCAAATAATTGTGTCAGTTAATCTTTATATCTTAATCAAAACTTTAATTTTAACTATGAGCTGCCCTGGTCACTTGTTTTTTTTTTACTTAATGTTAACCCTCATTAACTGGTGCCTGACCCAGAAAAATGTGTATTTAAAATTTTCAGGGGAATGAGCTTCATAAGCAAGGGAAGTTCAATAACGCTTCTGAGAAATATTTGCTTGTAAGGCAGTAATCATATCTTTAATCTTTTATCCAATTATGGGGAAAAATCTTGCCTTTTATTTTAGATATTAATTTATGTATTTTATCTGTATTTTTTCCCTATTAATGAAAATCTTTGTTGCCTTCTTTACACCCTTAGGCAAAGAAAAACCTGAAAGGACTTCCATCTGCGAAAGGAAAAACACTTTTATTGGCATGCTCTCTTAATCTCATGTCATGTTACTTGAAAACAAGGCAATATGATGTGTGTGTACAAGAAGGCTCTGAGGTATGAAGACTCCATGTTCTCCTTTTATTGTCATTTGTATGCTACCATTAGCTTTTGTCGTAAGTTAAATCCTCAAGTTGTCTCCCAGCCCAATATAATGACATAAAATTATTTAATACCTATTCACCATGCTACTAATCATTAATCAAATAAATTAATAGTTCTCTAATTAGCATTTCATTCTTTGTAATCCTCTATTTCCTTTCTGGCTAAAATTATGTTTTTATTGACAGGTTTTGTCTTATGATGCAAAGAATGTTAAAGCTCTTTACCGAAGGGGTCAAGCATATAAGGAACTAGGCCAATTAGAAGTGAGTTCTATGTGCACATGAATTTTGTCAATAACTACTGAATTGCATTTTTAGTACATTTTCAGATTCTGGAATAACTGCTTATATTTTTTTTCTGTTGCTGATAACCTTTCTGAAATAATTAGGATGCTGTCTTGGACTTGAGAAAAGCACATGAAGTTTCACCAGATGATGAAACAATCGCTGATGTCTTGAGGTATTAACACTTTTTTCTTTGATTTCTTTTACCTACTTGCTCTTGAACCTTGTCAAGGGTGAGTGATGAAGCACTTAACCATTGAAGACAAGGGAAGAGTTGGTGAGGTATCAACACTTTTGAATTAAAATTTTGCAAACATGTCATAAGTTTTCATCAGCTGCATATACTTATAAAGTTTATCCTCCGATATCAACACATCATTACCATTGTTGGTTGGGATATGGTAAACACAACTCATTTTTTAGAAAAGAAAAAAAAAACTTGTTTTTGGATTCACCTGGTATGCTGCTTAGTGCTTAGTTTTAAACATTATTCTTAAAATTGATGAGAGGTCATTTTTTGTTAAATGCTTCATGGTGGTTAGTGATGCCAATTTTTATGCAGGGATGCTGAGGAAAGATTGGCTAGAGAAGGTGGTCATCAAGCACCCCGGGGTAGGTTTCTCATCCTCGATTTTTGAGTTTCTTATGGCTACTCTCGTTCTCTCTTTTATATCTCTTTGAAGTTTACATTTCTTTTTTCTCATTTTTCAGGAGTGGTAATTGAAGAAATAACTGAAGAAACTGCTAGCACATCTTCTGCTCATCTTCAAAGTTCATCTACTGAACCTTTGTTGAAACAACCAGGAGAAAGTAGTGGAATATCTAAGAGAGAGAGAGTGTACAATGTTGGGGACTTGAGAACCAATTCTGAGTGTCTGCAGGTTCTAAAGGAGGATCCAGAGGCACACAGGTTTGTTTCCATTATCACAAAATTGTCTGTTAGGTGATCTTGATTTTCAGTTCTCTTATTCTGTCGGGCTCTAAAATTTCAGTTCTCTTATTCCCCATTTTGGTTAGCAGGTCCTTTCAGAATTTCATTTCTAGTGCCGAACCTGACACCCTTGCTGCTATGGGTGGTGGTAAAGTTGGAGAGGTGTCGCCGGACATGTTTAAGACTGCTTCAAATATGATCAGCAAGATGTCGCCTGAAGAGCTACAAAGAATGGTTCAATTGGCATCTTCATTTCAGGGGGAAAATCCTTATACAGGTGGATTTGGACCTGGCTCCGTTCCTCCAAATGTGACACCTGACATGCTTAAAACTGCAACTGATATGATGACCAAGATGCCTCCAGAAGAGCTTCAGAAAATGTTTGAAATGACATCTTCTTTGAAAGGGAAAAACTCTATTTCCACAGCAACAGCTGCAAACAATTACAGGCTAGATTCAGATGCTAAAGTTAAATATCCCGAATCTCAGACGGCATCTGTCACCAATGTTAAAAGTGGTTTTGGTGAAACCGGGTCTTCCAGTTCTAGTCGTTTTCCAACTTCAGTGAGTGCTGAGTCAAGTTTTCCAACATCAACTGCTGATCTACAAGAACAGATGAGAAACCAAATGAAAGATCCAGGAATGCGGCAGGTATGACAAATATAGAAAATAGCTGATAGAGTCAATTGCAATAGTTTCTTCATAAATAAATCTTGATTACTCCTAGACCGTGTCCGTTAATGTTTACTTGTGAACTGGGCAGATGTTTGCATCAATGATGAAAAACATGAGTCCAGAAATGATGGCAAACATGAGCGAACAATTTGGAATGAAGCTTTCTAGAGAAGATGCTGCAAAAGCTCAACAAGCCATGTCATCTTTATCACCCGAGGACCTTGATAGAATGGTACATTTATTTACTGTTTTTACATTTCTTTTATATTTAGGACTTGGTAATGGATAAATGATAAAGCATATATCGTCATTCTTTAAACATAAGCCTAATGGTCTGAAATGATTCATCGATTGAACAATTGTTGATGTTTTGCTGAAGTATTCTCTCCCAAGATTCACATCTATCCTACAGTTAGGCACAACACTCAGGACCTTCGAAATGCCCTTTCAAATACGTGCAAAATGTTAAAATTTTGAACATACATGTGTTTAGGGGTGTAAACGAGCCGAGTCGAGCTCGAGTATTGCTGAGCTCGACTCGACTCGACTCGAAAACTCGCGAGCTTAAAATTTCAACTCGACTCGAACTCGAAATCCTGAACTAAAGCTCGTGAGCAGCTCGAAAAGGCTCGAAATGAAGAAAAAAAAATCTTAAACTTAATTCGATTGAAGCCTCAAACTCGAACTTGAACCTTAAATACATGAAAATCTTACTATATTTTTAAAAAAATCTTACTATATTTAAAAAAAATCTGTACATAAATGTTAATATTATTAATAATTTATTTAAAAAAAATAATATCTTAATATATTATATTTTCGAGTTGCTCACGAGCTTTTCGAGTTGAATATCAAGTAGCTCGTTTCGGCTCGTTAAGAGCTCGAGTCGAGTCCATTCGATTCGAGTATTTATCAAGCATTGATCGAGTCGAGCTCGAGTAGCTCACGATCTATCTCGTCTCATTTAGAGCCCTATATGTGTTGGACACTAGTCTGTGTAATGTGTGTGGTAGTACCTTGTAATTGGCTACTTTTTTACCATTCATCATTGTCTTCTGCGCTAAGGTCACTGATTTTGCCGATTATGGTTGATTTTTCCGTTATCTTATTTTAACATTTTGCCTTGAAACACCAACTTTTACCCCATGCAGATGCGCTGGATGGATAGGATCCAGAGAGGAGCCCAGGGTGCGAAGAAAGCAAAGAACTGGTTGCTTGGGAAACCCGGTATGATTCTGGCAATATGCATGCTCATCTTGGCTGTGATTCTTCACAGGTTGGGCTTCATTGGTAGTTAGAGACGGGACCAATCTCCATTTTGATTGTAACAGACCCTTGCAATTCTACTTCTAATCAAGATAGTGTTGGAAACTATCATGCTTCTTTGGTTGCAAATAGACTTGGCAAATTGTGTACCGTCTCGTGTTTATTCTTTCTCTCGTCTTAATCTTGTTTAAGATATATATTTATATAATTTTGACACATTAATAATTTATATTTTGTAGATTTTAACATATTCGTGCAGTGTTTTAGTTATTTCTCGTCTAGTATTCTAAATTGTCAGGTTTAGTTGCTAGATGGTAGAGAGGCATTTCAAGCAACATGTTTTCTGAGTTAGGATCCAATTCATTATTATTTTTAATCAAGCAATACATTGTCATTACTATTTATGTGTGTATGTATAAGTTGAGCATTGAGGTTGATTTATCTGAACGGATGTCTTATAAACATGAATAATTGAGTCAAATAAATGTTTGGCCCTCAAAGTTGTCAATTTTTCTCACTTTAGTACCTAAAGAAGTTTTCTTTATCACTTTAATATCCGAAGTTTCAAATTGGCCCCTAAAGAAGTTTTTTTAAGGATAAAGTGCACTAAACATCATTAGATCATGTTAAAATATTTTTTATCATAACATTATGGAATGATTATCGAACTTTACCTAAACTTATAGTACTTCGATAAACTTTAATGACCATTTTGTAATATTTGAGAAGTTCAATGATTATTTTATAATATTTAAAGATTTATTGATAAAAAATATAATTTTAACATAGTTCAGTGATCGCTTTATCCAAATTTTGATTACCTGTAAATGATAGGAGTTTAGTTACGATTACTAGTCAACGACGCAGACGCAGACGCTAACGACACTTGCTTCGTGCCGGCGAATAAAACATTCCAAGGTTGCGACCGGTGAAAACGACGAGAGATGAACTGAAAAGTATTGAGAGACTACCATATTTTCTTCTTAGAAATTTTAATTTTTTATAAAATTTAAATATTTTTAATTGATGATTTAATTTTATATTTTATAATATATTTTTATATAACATTTAAAATTTTATATTAAAATGTTATTTATTGATAATAAAAATGAGCTAATTTATATCCAAAATTTTAATTTAATAAAAAATATAAATAAATTATATTTATCTATTTTAAAACATAAAGAATAAAATATATTAGAGATCATTAAACTGTGTTTAAATGATTGTTTAATAATTATTAAATTTTCTGAATTACTATAGAATTATCATTGAGTTTTATAATTATTTTGTAATGATTTAATAAATATAATAATTATTTTATAATTTTAAAAAATCAGTAACTAAAATAATCATTTGAAATAATGACCTTTGATATATTTCAACTGAAAATAAATTATTTGATAAAGAAAAAGTAAATTTGAGTTTATAATAAAATTTATATATTTATAAATTTCATATTCATAATAAAAATAAAAAAACTTTCTAATAATTATTTCTTTCATTTTGATTATATTTATAGTGCAATGATTAATGTCAAAATTTGATTAAAAAATGAATCATAAAAGTATTTACATGTATTAGCCACGTTTGGGTATCTCAGACACCACTTGACCCGTCCCAGCTTGTTGGTTGGGTTTTTCACCTCCCTTCCCTTCCCCATGTCTTAAACCCCACTCTCATTAAAATTAATCAAAAGTCATCACTTTCATTTATTCTTTCTTCCCCAAGAACCTCAATTTCGAAGTCTTCCCCTTTGCTCAAATCTACCCCAAAAAACAAATTCTACCGTCCTTTTGCCCCTTGTTTTATTAATCGATCTACTCGGTTGTTTTCTGCTTGGAGGTAAAGTGATTTCTGGATGTTTCTCTGATTTTGTTTTCTGGGTTTCTCTTGTGGTGCTTGATTTGTGAAAAAATTGAGTTGAGTTCAACAATTTGTGGGCGAAAGTTGGTTTGTATGGATTGTTTTTTATCTACTGTGTATTTTGGGGTTTCTGCTTAATGAAGGTTTTTTTGTGTAAGGCTTAATTTTTTTGTTCTTTTGTTAAAAGGGAGTTGGTTTTAATCATTTTATGCTTTTGATCAGTGCTGAATGGAGGTAAAGTTTGAGATTTTGTGGGAAAAAGTTAGTTGGTTTTTATGCTTTTTTTTATCTATTCTGAATTTTGGAGTTATGCTCAGTAAAATATTTTTCAAAATAATGTTTTTAAGGCTTAATTTACTGATATTTCGTCAAAAGAGTGTCGATTTTACCGTTTTATGTATTTGATTAGTGTGGTGTTCGTGTCTTCCGTTTTGATTGTATATGAACTGTTGATTTCGTTCTTTGCTCAAGATATGATTTAATTTCATTTCCTATTTTTCTTTATCTATAGAAAACTGGGATTTGAGATTGAAATAGGATGTTTTGGTGTTTGGCCTTTGTAGGGGATGGAAGATATCAATTCTGAGGCACGCTTAAACTCGGCAGCGGCTTTTGTGGATGGGGGAATCCAGGATGCTTGTGATGATGCCTGCAGTATATGCCTTGAAGCATTCTGTGAAAGCGATCCATCCACGGTATATATGTCTGAGAATTTCAGTTCTCATTTGCTGATACATGAAATGTACATTTCATTGATCATTTTTCATTGTGACACTTACAGATGACTGGCTGCAAGCACGAGTTCCATCTTCAGTGCATACTTGAATGGTAATATAACCCTTATCCATTTCATTGAGTTCATTGTAGTTTATATTAGTTTCATGTGTATAGTAATAGCCAAATTGTATGGTTTTGAGCTTGAATGTGGCTCAATCTTCTTACTTTTATAAATCATTCAGTGAAATGACTTTTATGAGTAAAATACCCGATTCAACCAGACTAGTAAAACTTTGAAAATATTTACCAATGGAGTTCATCTACTTTCTAAAAAAGGAATAATTATTACCTTAATTCGTCATTTTATTATTCTGATCTTGCAGGTGTCAGAGGAGTTCTCAATGCCCCATGTGTTGGCAGCCAATTAGCCTGAAAGATCCTACCAGGTTGGTATTTCATCTATTTCTTTTAATTATTGTTTCATGTTCGGATTCTTTTGCCTTTGATATTACATTCTAACAATTTACTCTTGCTATGGCAGCCAGGAGCTGCTTGACTCTGTCGAACGGGAAAAGAGTTTCAGGTTCAATCCCTCAAGAAATGCTACCATATTTCGTCATCCGACTCTTGGGGATTTCGAACTACAACATGTTTGTATTTCTTCTCATCAGCTAGCCTGATGTCTAACATCCTCATTCTATGATCATTAAATTGACCGAAGCCAAATTCTTAAGAAAGCGCCATTCTTATCTTGGTTGCTTTTAATGCAGCTGCCTGTGGGCGTGAATGAGACAGAGCTTGAGGAGCGCATAATTCAGCACTTGGCTGCTGCTGCTGCAATGGGGCGAGCACGCCACATTTCAAGAAGGGAAGCTCTGAGGAATAGGTCATTAGCTCAAGGGCGTCGTCCGCAATTCTTGGTATTTGCTCATTCAAATGAACCCTCTTCAACTGATCCTGTATCTTCATTATCTCCAACTCAAAGTGAAGGTGAACCTGCCCCTGCAATCACTGTTGGAACTCCATCCTCTCCTGCAAGAACAGTGGGAGAAGAATCTTTGGCATCATTTACTCCTCTACCTTCTGTCCAAGCTGATCAGCTGTCTGCCTTGGCATCTGGGCCCAGAGCTCTTTCAGTCAACGATCAAGGGACTTCCTCGAACGCTAGGTACACACTATTCTCTAACTTGATTCTCCTTATTTTTCGGCTTTTAGGCAGTTTTTTCTGTTCAAATTCGTTAGAACGCATTTTTCAGCCTTTCTTTATGTCTTATCACAATAATATCTTCTATCGCTATATTTCAGGTCCCCTAGTCAGTCTTCTCCAAATAGTCAAGATAGAGCTGGACCTTCAGAAATTCAGTCATTTTCTGAATCACTAAAATCACGGTTTAATGCCCTTTCAACGAGGTATATGTCGTAGGTGATATTTGTATGTTTCCTTTTGCATGGTTTATTATATCAGTTTGCACCCTTATTTTGACATATGAATCTCTTTAGATACAAAGAGTCAATTTCAAGGAGTACAAGAGGCTGGAAAGAGAGATTTTTCTCTCGCAACACTTCTATGGCGGAAATTGGTTCTGAAGTGAGGAGAGAGGTTAATGCTGGCATTGCAACAGTCTCTCGCATGATGGAACGTCTAGAAACCCGAGATAGTAGAAACAACACTGATACTATAACAAGCACATCAGAGAATAGTTTTAATCCAGAACCAAATAACCTCCAAACTACTACAGCTACTGTAACTAGCAGTTGTGAGAGCGGTTCTAATCCGGAACCAAATAACCATCAGATATCAGATGCAAGTGGAGAAGCTCCTTTTACCGACACCAGTGCACATGCTTCATGTGCTACGAGTTCGGCATCCAAATAAGTATTGTTTCAGCTATTGCATCAACTGAAAGTGTTTTAGCATCAAAGTTACACTAAGGTGTTGAAATTTTGCTTGATTTCGACATAAATTGTCTTTTATCTGATATTCATTCCCATCTAAAGCCTACTCAAATTGACAATTGCTATGATGACTGGTTCCATGTGGTTATCATTCTCTCTTATGAATCCAGACGTAAGATCTAAATGGCCAATTCGACCCCAAAAATCAAGTTAAATTAGTTAAACTTCCGCACCATGTTAGATTACTTAATAACATAATATGCGTGTGTGTACAGCTTCTGGTTTCAATTGTACTACATGAATATTGCTGTAGCATGGTAATTAAAAAGTACCCCAACTTTCTTAAAGCTTATTCATCACCTATCCATTGTTGCACTGTTCCTTTGTTCTGTCATCGTGAGGTGCTATGTTGCACCGAATTTTTCATTTGTTTTTCGAAGTACCGTTATTCACACACACACACATATATCATTATCCGGCATTCATCTAAAGTCGAGTAACATAGGTGACGGTGTCGAAATGTTGTAACCAAATGTTTCTTTTCCCGTGCAGAGTGTTTTTGGTGGATGTTATCCAGGTACATGGAAGAGAACAGTTGGCGACCGTGAACTGATTCAGAATAAAGTTGATCATTATTCAGAAACCAGGAATCAGCAGGTTATGTAAATGAGTTTATAATTTTAACTATGCTTATTGTATAATTTAAAGCCCTCTATTGCTAGGTTCTCAAAGTGTTGAAGATATGACAAATTTGTTAAATACTATGTTACTTGTTCTGCCATTTAGATGACTATCTCATACAATAAGTTCTACATTGAACAAAGTTATGAATCAATTTAATCATGTTGACCTGCCAAGAATGTTGGAACTCTATTCATGAATAGGCTTCCTCGGTTGGCCAAACACCGGCCTTAGTACTGATTGCCAGACTGCCCCCTCCCTCCCACTTCACCTTCCATTTCTGTCCATCTTTCTTTCGCCTCTTATCTCGCCTTTTCCTCCCATCCTCTTTCAGCATCACTTGCGAAGTCACCTCCATCATCGGCCACCCTTTTCTGCCATGGGAGGACCTTGATTCTCGGAACAATAATGTTTGTCTAGAGTTTGAGGAAGTTTTCTCTAGTCAAAGAGGATTCATGAATTCTTGAATACATGGTGTTCATTACTATGAAATAATGCAGTAAATACTGCATTTGTAAGAGTGCTTCCGAAGTTACAAGCTTGAGGGTTGTTGAGGTACTCTACAATGGATATGTTCCGGGACTGATTTTGAAAAGTTATGTGTCACCTTTGTTCTATAACCGTGACATGTTATATGTATCAAATACATACCCTTATCCGATGTACCAGAGTCAAGTAGCATAGGTGACGGTTTCTCAATGTTGTATCTTCAGTTCTACGTGAAGCTATATTCATTAAATAATAGCCTTATCAAAATGGACAAAACAAAAACTTCAAGTCATGTGCCAACTGTGATAGAACTGCAACAACTTATTGGGGCAAAGTATTGTAATGGAAACAACTGGTTTCATTCAAACTCGAACGCAAAGTTTCTAAAAACAGCCAAATCATCGAACCAAACAATACGTTTTTCAGACATTACGCCATTATTGAGCAAATGAAAACCGAGCACAAGTGCCACTTTCAACGGCACTATAGGTTTAAGATCGCCTCTGGCACTTATTTTCCCACCATTCCATGAATTTGGCTTGTGCAGCCATTGTGTCCAACCTGTAGAGTTGATGCCAGTGGTTTGCAATTTCTTGTCCAAATGTCCAACCAAAAACGCCTCCTCCTAAGAAAGCCAGTCCGGCACCTGAGACAAAAATCGGTTTGAGAAGCTTAAGATAATTTATACCCATTTCTCGTAACATTAACCAAATCAGGTTCTAACACTAACACAACGTTTTATTCTAATAAAACTCGCAACCTAGAATTTTCTTCCAAGCCTTTTCATGTTATTGTATCCAGAAAACCAGTGGGGAGAAGCTTAAAATAACTTCCCTGTGTCTCGTAATATTAGTAGAACCAAGGTCTAACGCCGACTTATAATAGAAGTAAAATTGCAACATAGAATGCTCTTAAATGCACAAAAGTTACTTTTTCTTACAAGTTTTTTCGTGTTATTGTATCCAGAAAACCAGGCTAATTGTATTTTCCTTCAATTTTTATCTGTTTCTCCTACTGATCTACTTTAGTTGTATTAGTATAAACCATAAGCCAGGGAACAAGTTGGACCATGCTATTACTAGAAGTGCTTCTAAGCCAGCAAAGAAAGATATTCGTAAGACCTATAGGCACCAAGAGGACACAAAAACTTATAAGAAACTAAAGAACTTCAGTTTACGAGGAGAATACCGGAAACACACGGGATTATGACTCATTGAGAGCAGTGAGATCACTTATGCACTTACCATTGCCTTGTAAACTTCTTTAACTACCTAGGTGGAAAAATATGCAACTTGCTTATTGTTCTATATATTTATTTATCAGCTTAATAATGCGATGTACAAAAGGATCTTCTACCCATACACTCCCCTAATTCGTAGAAGGAACTGGGATTTTGATTAGTATTCAGACTGAACCAGATTTTGACAGTTCCATCACTATTTTGTATAACAAAAAAAGTGACCAAAGAGAATAAGAAGTATATTACCATGTAAACTCCTCGAGTATTTCCAGGCAAGACCTGCAGTTGAGACAGCTCCAATAGCACTTCCTGCTAAGGCAATGTTTGCCGCTTCCCTAGTGGTCTTCAACTGAAAAAGGGGAAAAATGAAATCAAGCAATTTGAGACTTGCTACTGCAATGAAATGACAATTACTTTTAGCGTCATACCTTATGGAGATATAATATTCGATATTTTAACAATACCTTACACAACAAACTTTTGAATCAATTAATAGAAAACACACCATTTTCAACAGTACTTTCAAGTTTCAACATTTTGAAATACTCGACATAATATCACATGGAAGGACAGCACCATGTTCCTATTAGAAAGAAAATAAAGGAAGGCTGTGCAAGGAAACAACTGAAGGCACAATCTAGCAGCTATGGGAATTCTAAAACCAAAGGTACAAGGTAAAGAAAACAGGGATAAGCTGAGAAAATATACGAATCCAATAAATTGATATATATATATATATATATATACAGGGATAAGCGAGTGCATCAAAGAAACCCAAAACGAAAACAGAAAAAATTCACTAAAATTCGAGCTAAATCAAAGAAACCCAATACGAAGAAAAAAAACATCAAAAATGAAAGAAGAAAAAAAGAGTGAGATGGGAAGAAATTATTACGATGGGGCCATGAACCGGATCAGAAGCGATGAACTCATTAACATCGGATTCAGACCATGATGGAAGAGACTCTTCGCGGCTTATGAATCTTGAATAGACGTCAGTATATGGAAATCGCTCAGCCCAGAATTCTTTGAATTCTCGACAGTGCTTCTTCAAGAACGAATCTGATGACGATGAATCGCCCATTTTCTTTCGCTGATTACTATTTTTTAAATCGTATTGATTGATCTCCCTCTTTCTCGCAGTCAGATTCCTCGGCCTCCTTACTTTAAAGATGGCTGTGAGGGTTTGGATTGTGTACAATGATGGGTTAGGTCGTGTCGTTTTGTTGCACTCAACAATCATATTATTATTTGTCAAATTTTCTTTTTAATAAGAAAATTGTGTTAATTAATTGTAGAAACCCATATCTTAACTAAATTAATTTTATATAATTAATAATCGAGTGTTAGTTTGGTTGGTATGTTTGTAGTTTATGTTGATAGATTTTTGTTGCACTCAACAATCATATTATTATTTGTCAAATTTTCTTTTTAATAAGAAAATTGTGTTAATTAATTGTAGAAACCCATATCTTAACTAAATTAATTTTATATAATTAATAATCGAGTGTTAGTTTGGTTGGTATGTTTGTAGTTTATGTTGATAGATTATATCTCAAAAAGGGATAATTAGTTCAAATTGAATACCATAAGTAATAAAATATTAACTATTTGATCAATAATGAAACTTTGAAGCTAAAGTAATTCTAAAAATAATTAGGGATACTCAAATATTAATTATTTGATCGAATTAGAAGCATCCCAATTCCTCATACGATAGCGGAACGTATGCAGGACAAGGTTAGTTGGGAATACTCGAAAGATGAGAACTTCACAATGAACTCCACCTTCAAAGATATTAGTAACAAAGGACCAGAGGATCAACAAAGTCAAAAGTTCGACTGGATTTGGAAGATGGAAATAGCAGAACGCATTCGGATTTTCGTCTAATTGTGCACACTGAACAAACTTAATACGAATGAAATCAGAGCTAAGAAAAACATGACACAGGACACAGTTTGTAAGCTTTGCGGAGGAGAAATGGAAGATATAAAACATATCTCAAGAGGATGTACAACGGGGAGAGCAGTCTGGGTAGGATTCGAAGCAGACTGTTACGACGATCAGTTCAATACTAGGAACTTTAAAGACTGGTTACACAGAAACTGTTGTTCGCGAAAAATGGGGGTCCATGGAATTCCTTGGGGACAGCTAATTCTCATCTACAATCTAGGGTTTATGGAAGAACAGAAATGAAGCAACATTCAACAACAATCCCAGAAATGCAACTCAAATTACAAATTATAGTCTTAAGCTTGCAAAAGATATCAAATCAGCTATGGAAAGCTCGCATGCAAAAATTATCAGGGAACCCCGATGGGTTAAATGAAGGAGACCACCCAGAGGTTGCTAGATATTGAACTCAGACGGAGCGTGCAGAAAATCAGGCCAAGCCACAGCAAGAGGATTACTTTGAGATGAAAATAGCAACCGGATTCAAGGCTTCATGGTAAATATTGGGAGAGCGACAAGCGCTATGGCCGAAATGTGGGGAGTACGACAAGGTTTCCTATTGGCAAAATCCCTTGGAGCGAGGAACCTCATAGTTGAAGCTGATGCAAAGTGGGTAATCGACGCGCTCAACAAAGAGAGAACAAACGACATTCAAAAAGAAGTTTTATTCAGAGATTGCGAAGAGCTAAAAAAAGGAGGGATGTATATCGGAGATAAGATATACCTGGAGAGGGGGAACCGTTACGCCGATCGGTTAGTCAATATGGCTTTTGGAAGAGGGGGGAACTCACATTTTGATAAAACCCATCGGAGGAGCTAAAAACGCTGTTATGGGCGGTCATTAATGGGGATGGGTGCTTGAGATGGTAGGCTGCTAGTGTAGTCGATTCACATGTACCCCAAAAAAATGTTAAGAACATATTTTAATATTATATAATTTTACGAATTTATGAGGTTAGTGATAAAAAAATTTATTTTTTTTCTATAGGATTCTAATTTGATCAATTGCATCTGTAAGGTGAATGTACACTGTCATAGTAAAATTCTAAACATATATTATTTTAAAATCATTTCAAATTACTATAAAATATTGTATTTTCTTATAAAGCATAGGATCATATTCTTATAAATTAAAGTTAAATTATTAATTTTTATTTTTCTATGAAGAGAGTGATGAAATCGATAATTAACCCTAATAAATTAATCTTTAATTCTTGCTGTCCTTTATTAATTGTTTTTCTTACTTCCATGATGGAATTGGAACATATGCCCAATTAAGTTATTATGCCTCGTAAAAATATTTGGAATCTGTTTGTTCCTTTCTTTCTTTCCAGTCCTCAAAAAGCTATCAATTATCATTTTAACCCCAAACAATCTTAACTAATAATCTTTAACGATTAAAATTTAATTTGATTAATATTGATATGATTGACATATTCTGAAATTGTGATTCAAACTCACTTAACCATACAATAACTCTTCTGATTTAAGAGTTTAAGAAGATTATAAATAGTTCAAACATTTATTAAAAATATTTATTTAGGATTGTATTGCTAAACATTTTAATAATTATTTTTGAAATTATTCTTAAAAAAATTCTCAATTTTTTGGAAAAATATCAATTAAGCCCTTAATTTATTTACACTCGATTAAACCTTTCGTATTATGGAATTTCATCAATTCACCTCTTTAATTAACATCGACTATTAAATTTAACAATATTTTCAATCAGTTTAACAATTAAAATCAATTAAATAATTTAATTATTATTTTTTGTTGTCATCTTGGTTCCTCATAGCTTTGTTCTAACTAATCTGAACCGACGTGTCGTTACTGTACCACACCTGGTTTTGGTAGGTGAGTCTTTCAACTGGTATTTTCTGTATATACAAGGCCTCAAACTTAAAACATACTTAAGCGATAATAAGTTGCTTACCACTTAAATCAATCCCGTTGGTAAATAATTAATTAATTTAATTTTTTAATTTAATAATTAAATCGAATGTGTACATAGTTTTTTTTTATTTAAGAGCTAAAAGAGTATCAATTGTTCCTAGCTTTATCTTTATTTACCCGTAAAAATTTATTACCACTTAAATTAACTTCATTGGAAAATAATTTAATTAAATAATTTTTAATTTAAGAATTAAATCGAATGTTTTTTTTTTCATTTAAGAGCTAAAAGAATATCAATTATTCCCAGCCTTATCTTTATTTACCTGTGGATTTTGTTGGTTGAAAAGGTGCAAAGAATTCCTCTCATCTAAAATATTCTATTGTAGCGTTGTTCTCGTTCTTTCATTGTCTAGGAACTTGACCATTACAGAATATTTAGATGCAATAATTTGTACATGTGTACAACTTTCATTTTTTAATTAATTATATAAATATAATATTAAATATTTATTGAATGATCTCAATAATAATAAAAATGTTATTTTCTAGAAATTATCATATTTAAATAATTACGTCTATAAAATGTGTGTTTTGTTATTGACTAAGAAAATGTATTGAGTGCGAATATTAATAAACTTGTGGAATCATAGCTTACCAAAGAACTCAATATGTGTAGGAATCTTAATTAACTCTCAATTGAACATGATAATAATAGAACTATAATATATTTAATTTTTTTCTATTTTTGAGCATTTTTACAATATATATATAATATTAAAATGTAGGATAAATTATATTATTGACTACTTAATTATTGTCCATTTTCACTTTGAGCACCTATCTTTCAATTTTGTCAATCAAGTCATCCAACTATTTAAATGCATTCAATCAAGTCACTTGTGTTAACATTTAACGGAATAGATGACATGGCTGTTAAAAATTGATATAATTGTACATTTGGTCCTTAATATTTATACATTATACCAATTTAATCTTAATTTGTATTCAATTAAATAAATTTAATATCCAATTAGATGGAGACATGTGTCACTACCATATTGGAGGATATTTTCTTAATTTTAATTAATTTATTTAATTTTATTTTGTATCCAACCAGCTGGTGACAAAAGAAAATATCATCCAATATTTAGTTCAAAACAATTAAGTAAAATCAATTAAAATTATTTAGTTCAAAACAATTAATGGAACAATATGCTGTAGTTAGGGTTCAAACCAATGACATGGAGCACTTTACACGTGGCTGAACCACTAAATCAAATTTCTTATCTGGTAATGGTTTACAATTATAATTTAATATATGAAATTTATTAATCCATTGAACCATATTAACCTATCGTTAATCATTTGCTAATATAGTAAAACATCATATTTGTTATGTATGTGTATATATATGTCTAATAATATTTTTTAATCTCATTTTTTAAAATATTTTAATCATTAATTTTTCATCTCTTTGACCTTTAATTTTTAAATTATTTATTGAATTGAATTAATTAATAAAAATAATAAAGCTATTGATCTAACATAAATTAATTCATATTTTTATCATTTCCAAAGTAAATTATTCAGTCTCTTTTATGAAAAAAATCCAAAAGTTATTTAAAAATCATACAAATAATTAAAAAAAAATATTACAATTTTTAAACGTATAGAATATATTAAATTATTAGTTAGTTAATATTTGAATCAGAAAGGTTTCTTTTCACAATATCTTAGATAATTAAATGAGTTGTTTCATGAATCGATAGTGTCAGTGGAAACATCTAATTTTACCAAATCATTTACCTCTATATTTATATTCATCTCACAATTAATTCATTTGAAATCAGTAAATTAATTGTTCTTGTAGAGAGAGAACTGCATAGACAAAAGAGATATAATTCAAATTAGCCAAATCATTAAAAACAATTGAGTAACATCCACTTTATCCAATTACACTTTAACGCGTTTAAAATTTAAGAATTATACTGATTAAAGATAAACAAGAATTCATAGTTCAGTACTGAACTAATATAAATCTTATCAACTTTGTAAAGTCCATTTGGCGTGAGAGAGAAACGAAAAGAAAATTTAGGTAGCAATCGCGATAAAACAAAATCTATAAGGACCAATCTAATAATTGGGATAGTTCAGGGAAATTTTGCTAATAAAACCATATAGAAGTAATCAAATGAGTGCCGATGAGAGGGAATCAGATGCCTTACTGTATTGGCCCCTTTATATACACTTGTTATCCCCTTCGATATTTTTCATATTCGGCACGTCGAACACTCATCATTTCCCCTCCGCGACTTTCCCTCTCCCCAAACACCTCATTTCGAGAGAAAGAGAAGCTCAAGTTAAGTTGTAGGAAAAAATTGGCCGATCAGCTTACCGAGGACCAGATCTCCGAGTTCAAGGAGGCCTTCAGCCTCTTCGACAAGGATGGCGATGGTCCCTTCTCTCATCTCTCTCGCTTTTATTTTCTTCTTTATGTTTTTCTTTTTAATCATGCTTTAATTATTTTCTTTGTTCGGTTCAGTTCTCTGGTTTGCGGATCCGACTGTCGTTTTTATATTTTATGCTTGATTTTTGTTTTTTTTTTCAAATTTGCGATCGTTTTCTTTTGCGATTCGAATGGTGTGACGGATCTAGGATTCCGAATTTGAATTCATGATCCTGGTTGATCTTTGTCGGTTTCATTTCGATTGCTTTGGCTCTTGATTTCTATCTCTGTACATGTTTTTTTTTGCTTTCACTTTCATTATTGTTGACTTTTATAGGCCATTTCATTGGTTTCATTTGTTTGACTTGCTACTGTTAGATATTTTTTGATGCAAAAGAGACTTACCTATGTCGCCATTTCCTTTGGTATTAGCTTATGTTTGAGATTTGATTTGTGACTTAATCATGATTGAAGACTGAGTTTCTTTTGCGTAGACGTTAAATCTTATTAGCTAAGCTTCCATTGATTTTGAATGCAAGTCCCTTAGATTGAATCTCCAGAAAATTTTCTGATCTATAATCCCATACATGGGAATTTATGTTTGTTACTTACTACATGTAGCTTAGGTTATTGAACCAGAAATCATATATGGGTTGCATGTATTAGTTGATCCATGAGTTGTTGAACTTCTATTTATCAATGTTTCCGCATCATTGAGCTTTTATGGAAAAATAAGTTTGATTGAATTGATCGGCGCATTGGAAAAATGTTCACTATCCGCATTCTTCCGTGTTTAGTTAGCTATAATTTATGTCTGTATTTCTTGCCAAATTTAGTTAGTTGTTTTGATTGTTTCATAGTCGATATAGTAGTCTTATTTTGTCGCGTTGCATATTTTTTTCATCCTTGTTGTAGGTTGCATTACTACCAAGGAGTTGGGGACTGTGATGCGATCACTTGGACAAAACCCTACCGAGGCAGAACTCCAAGATATGATCAACGAAGTTGACGCTGATGGGAATGGGACCATTGATTTTCCTGAATTCCTTAACCTCATGGCAAGGAAAATGAAAGATACTGACTCGGAAGAGGAACTTAAAGAGGCTTTCAGGGTGTTTGACAAGGATCAGAATGGCTTTATATCTGCTGCTGAGCTACGCCACGTTATGACAAATCTTGGTGAGAAGCTTACAGATGAGGAAGTCGATGAGATGATCCGTGAGGCCGATGTTGATGGTGATGGGCAGATCAACTACGAGGAGTTCGTCAAAGTCATGATGGCCAAGTAAGGATCTATCCAACCATAACCAAGATCCAAAAAGAGAGAGAGAGAGAGAGAGAGAGAGAAAGGGAAAAAAAAGAGCAGATAAGTTTGCAAAGATTTCAATTTCTCAATAGACATCTATGTTTTTCGGGTCTCACGGTCGGTCATCTGTTCATTGTTTGCATTATTTCATGGACCAGCTTGTTTGCTCTGTTTTCTGTTCCCAAGCCCGGGGTTTAATTAGCAGTGTCATCTTTTTTTTCTTACCGTTTGGTGTTTTCTTTCTATTCTTGGTGCCAAAAAGAGCAGATAAGTTTGCAAAGATTTCATTTCTCAATAGACATCTATGTTTTTCGGGTCTCACGGTCGGTCATCTGTTCATTGTTTGCATTATTTCATGGACCAGCTTGTTTGCTCTGTTTTCTGTTCCCAAGCCCGGGGTTTAATTAGCAGTGTCATCTTTTTTTTCTTACCGTTTGGTGTTTTCTTTCTATTCTTGGTGCCATGAAACTTAGAACAATTTTGCAACAAGATTCCATTTTTTTGCTTATGGGTGACTAATTTTTACCATATTTTAAAATTTCAGTATATCATTGTTTTCAATATTTTGTTTGATTTACCTTCTTAATACGGCACTTCTCGAGTTCTCGTTATGTGCTATGGTTTTGTTTTGCACGGTTTTAACAAATCAGGTTGTCAATGTTATTCCACTGTGAGAGTTTCTACAATCCCCGTTGTTCTATCACTGATTTCTTATGTTGCTTCTCTCCTCATTCTTCACCTTCCAACCGTCGGGACTTGAACGGAGATGCTTCAGTGTGAAAAATCGAAGAAATTCGAAATCTAGGTTAAAACTTTAGGACAATTTTAAGAATATTTTCATAAATATAAAAGAAAATTTTTGGAGTTCATTTTCATGATTTTCAAAAGATAAATGCTCTATTATTTAATTACGGGTGATAAAACCAGAGCAAGGTTAATAATATTAAGTGATCAAATTGATTATTATTATTTAGTTACCAGAACAGAAAATCAAAATTGAGTGATAGTTTATCCTAAAATGAGCATCTAAATTTAATTACAAGAAAGAAAACATCCTCCTTTTCTCTCTCGCTCTCTTTATTTCCCCTTCAAATGTTGGTGTGCAATAGAATCGAAAAATGGAACAAAATCTTGGCCAGCTATTATTATTCCAAAATAATGCATGTGTGCAGTGCATTGCATTGAATAACCACGCATCTCCCATCACCACATCCATGCATTGCTAATATATTCTTCCAAATAACACCATTTTTCATTTGGTCTAATCCTGCCTCAATCCCTGTACTCTACAAAATTTTGAAATCTAGTTCCGCAGGAGTTATTCAAGAACCACTTATAGTTTATTTGAAAGATCCTTTACTTTTAATTCTAAGGATTTGGTCTTTTTTCTTGTATGCTTTTAAAGTTAAAAGTTAAATCGATAACAATGTTAATTGAAATTTGATCTTTAAATCAATATTTTAAACTTTAGAATGTCGGGTATTCAAAATCTAATAGAAACAGTTTATTAATATTGTTTCAGTTGGAGTTTAATTTCCAATTTGACAAGTGTAGCGAGAGGAAAATATCTCAAGAGTTTGAAGAGTACAAGGACTTGAGGCATAATTAAACCTTTTCATCTTATCACCTTGTTTTTACCTTACTAATCTAACTACAATCGGAAACCCCTTTGGTTTTATTTGTTTTGACAGGAGGAGAGCGAGGACATCATCATACGTGCCCAACAATAATCGTAGCCAAAAGCCGAAGAAAGAAACAAAATCAAAAGATGTGAAACGACGTCGTAAGCGTGATTGTGTTTTCCTCTAGATCCATCGTATATTACATATGTTGTAACATATATATAATGTGTTATTTCGTAAGTTCTAAATTTGGAATATGTTGTCTTATTTAGTGCAAGTATGTTTTTGTCAATTATGTTGTTGTGATCTAATTACACTCCGATATTAATACTTTAAGTTTTTTATTCATTTTTATATTAGTTTCTTTTAGATTGTTTTCTCTGTTATTATTATTATTAACTCATATAATTTAAATATAAATTCAATAATTTTAAAGTTAAAGCTTTAATGAATTTGAGAATTTGAAATGTTTGTTTGAAGATTCTAAAAATGAAATATTTATTTTAACAAATAAAAATGATATCATAAAACTAATATCGTTTGATGATCGATGACGAAGATCGAAGTAAAAGGAGGTCAAAGTTTTAACTTGATATTCACTGATTTTAAGTGAATTTTTAGGGGAAAAAATCAACTCAAACATAAAGGAGAAAGAGAGATATATAATATTTTAATATTAATTTTACAGTAAATGATGATCTATAACATATAACAAAGACCAGAAGATTATTATTTTTTTAAAGTAAACAATCACATCATCAAATATTAATAGATTAATGGTTTGATAACTAAAAAAGTAATTCAAAAACATAAATGTATTAATATTAAATTCTTTATTTATATATCTTTTAACATGATGTGAATCACGGTTCTAAAATGATTTATTATCAGGATGGATAAAGGGATATTAGAGCGTGTAGTCGTATTTCTTAAACTTTTTTTTAATTATTATCTAATTTTACACCCTCTTAAAGTTTTATAACTTTTTACTCCAAAAACAAATAAAAGAAATTGTCGGGAATTAGGACATAAGAAAAAGTTTGGAGTCCTACTTAAAACACAATTCATGGAGTAAAAGATGTTTTATTCCAATAAAAATCCTAATTAATTTGATAGAAATTTCAATTTATTTTTATTTTGGTTGGATCCATGTTTGAATTTGTGAAGTTATATGCATTTGGATAAAGAATATAGATTTTTTTTAATGATTCCAGTTTATCCAAATGCTTATCTTGTTGTTTGGTAAAGAACTAAATGGTTTGAAAGAGTAAGGTTAATTAAATAGGAGGATTTATTTTAATCGTCTATGTTGATTCTAGATTTTGATTTTTTTCCAATGTGGTGTGGTAATTAGGTTGAACGAGATGATGAGGCTGCAAACCTATACCGGTCTCAGCTTTGTTGCGATGCTAGCTGTTATTTATCATGCATTCAACAGTAGAGGCCAGTTTTATCATGCTATGGTGTATTTATCAACCTCTAAGATCAGCTTGCTGCTTATTCTCAACATGGGCCTTGTCTTTATGTGCATCTTATGGCAAATAACCAAGCGGATATTCCTTGGGTCCCTTCGTGAAGCCGAGGTCGAGAGGTTGAACGAGCAGTCATGGAGGGAGGTTATGGAGATCCTCTTTGCAATCACTATTTTTCGGCAGGACTTCTCCATTTCGTTTCTCGTGATGGTTACTGCCCTGTTGTTAATCAAGGCTTTGCATTGGTTGGCACAGAAAAGGGTTGAGTACATCGAGACAACCCCTTCTGTTCTTATGTTGTCTCATGTTCGAATTGTTTCTTTTCTGGGTTTCCTTCTTCTAGATTGTCTGTTTTTGTCCAGCTCTATCAAGGTTCTGATCCAAACTCGACAAGCTTCAGTCTCCCTATTCTTTGCATTTGAGTAAGTTTTTAACTTGGCACATTTTCTTCTTTTATGATTACTGATTATCGATTGAAAAGCTTCTAAATGCATTTCTTCTAAGCATGTTTTTTTTGGGGGGGGGGGCATCATTCAAAACCTTTTTTGTATTTAAATTGTCCGGAGTATTTTAGGTTTATTGTAATGGATTGGCAATGATGAGCATGATACATGTAGTCATAGTTCCTCTTCTTCTTCTTTTTACTAAGGCCCTGATGACTATGCATGAGGTGTTGACTAAAGCACCGAAAGGTGCATACAATTAATGCACTGAAAGGTGTACAGTGGATTTTGTGGAAATTTGGAAAAGGGTAAAATCATTTTTAGTCATTGTAATTTAAGGTATTTACAAATTAGTTCTTAAGCTTCAACTATAAATATCATATCTCATTTAGATTCAAAACCATCCCAAAACATTCTAGCTTTCTTCCAATACTAAAGAATTTAGAGAGTTTCTTGAGAGTTGTTTTCTCATTTTTATCAACAGAGAATTATCATTGTTTTCTCCTTGGTAGATAGAAAGAAGTTGTAATTCCTATTTTCTCATAGTTAAATTCTTCTACCGTTGCTCGTGGTTTTTACCCTATAATATTTAGGAGTTTTCCACGTAAATTTTGTGTCTCTTTTATCTTCATATTTTATTTTCTCAAATTATCAGTTATGATTTTACTTTATTCGATAGCCGTCTTCCGCAACAATTAGTATCAGAGCTAGATTAGAGTGTGTAATATATGCTTATTGTCTTTGTGGTTACCACCAAAAGGTGGATCCTCCAACATAAGAAAGTAAGAAGTTATTACCCATTCTTTGAAGGTTCCAGAGAACTATTCACGATAGTGAAATAGTGAGAGCTATCCGTAAAAGAAGTTATGGCAACGAAATTTGATATTGAAAAATTCAATGGGAGAAATTTCTCATTGTAGAAATTGAAGATGAATGCCATCTTGAGGAAAGATGGTTGTCTAGCAGCTATCAGTGAAAGACCGGTGGATTTCACAAATGACAACAAATGGATCGAAATGGACGGGAGTGCTATGGCAAACTTTCATCTAGCATCAACAGATGAAGTATTGTCAAGCATCGAGGAGAGCTCTCATCTCAATTGTACGCACATCGTGCACAATAAATTTTCCTTAAGAGAAAATTATACACTCTCCGTATGCCATAATCTACTTCAGTGACGGAGCACTTAAATACACTGAACACTTTATTTTCTCAGCTTACATCCTTAAGCTGTAAAATAGGAGAACAAGAACGTGCTGAACTTCTACTTCAAAGTACTGGATTCGTATTGACAAACAGTCACATCTAGTCAACGTTGCAGCGCTACAAGAAAAAAATCGACACAAGAACAAGGAAGACAGACAAGTAAATCTACAATAAGCAGAAGCGTTGACAACGACGAGAGGGAGATCAACAGAACGTGGCCAAAGCAGCAATAACAAACATGGTAGATCGAAGTCGAGGAGCAAGAAGAATTTGAAGAAGTTGTTGGAGTCTCCAATCCACAAGGCAATACCGCAAACACTTCAGATGATGGAGATGCTCTATGCTGTGAAGCGTCAACCACCGTGGAAGGTAGAAAAAGATTTGCAGATATATGGCTCATTGATTCAGGAGCAACATATCACATGACCTCAAGAAGAGAATGGTTCCATCATTATGAACCTGTCTCAGGAGAATCTGTGTATAGTTGCAATGATCATGCCTTAGAGATCATTGGCGTGAGAACCATCAAATTGAAGATATATGATGGAACAATTAAAGTTGTTCGAGATGTGCGGCACGTGAAAGGCCTGAAGAAAATTTATTATCCTACGGATTGTTGGATAATAATACAAGCAAGATTGAAACACAGAAAGGAATCATAAAGGTGTTCCGTGGAGTGCTTGTGGTGCTGAAATGCGAAAAGATAGCTGCAAACTTGTACATGATGAAGGGAGAGACTTTGCTAGAAGCAGAAGCCTCTGTTGCCTTATGTAGTTCAGATTCTGCAATGCTATGACATCAGAAACTTGGACACATGTCAGAACAAGGAATGAAAGCCCTTGTGGAGCAATAGCTACTTCCAGGCTTAACAAATGTATCACTTACTTTGTGTGAGCACTGCATAACAAGTAAGCAGCACCGGTTGAAATTCAACACGTCAAATTCTAGAGGTAAAAGTGTTCTATAATTGGTTCATTCTGACGTATGGCAAGAACCAGTTACATCCCTAGGCGGAGCAAAATATTTTGTCTCATTTATTGATGACTACTCTAGGAGATGTTGGGTGTACCCTATTAAGAAGAAGTCAGATGTGTTTTCCACTTTTAAAAATTTAAAGCACGGGTGAAACTTGATTCTGGAAATAAGATCAAGTGTTTCATAACAGATAATGGAGGAGAATACATAAGTGAAGAATTTGATGACTTTTGCAAGAAGGGAGGCATCAAAAGGCAGTTCACAATGGCGAACACTCCTCAACAAGAGCGGATGAACAGAACCTTGTTAGAAAGAACAAGAGCAATGTTGAGGGATGCATGCCTAGAAAAATCATTCTGGGCAGAAGCAATCAATACCGCCTGTTATTTGGTGAATCGAGCTCCATTAACTGCAATAGAGCTAAAGACACCAATGGAGATGTGGACTGGTAATCCATCTGATTATTCAAACCTCCATGTATTTGGAAGTATTGTGTACGTGATGTACAACTCCCAAGAAATTTCAAAGTTGGATCCAAAATCCATGAAATGCAAATTCTTAGGGTATGTTGATGGTGTAAAGGGGTATCGCTTGTGGGATCCCACTGCTCGTAAAGTGATCATCAGCAGGGATGTTATCTTTATAGAAGATAAACTACAAAGAAAAGAAGATGATGATATCACTGAAAAGTCAGAGACTACACAAATACATGTGGAAAATGAGTTTGAACAAGGAGATTCTTCTGAAGCAGAACTAGCGCATGATGAACAAGAACCAGAGAGTTTTGAAGTTCCAACAACTCGTCAATCAGATCGTGTGAGAAGACGTCCTAATTGGCACTCAGATTATGTTATAGAAGGTATTTAACAGAGGACGGTGAGCCATCAATATACCAGGAGGCAATAAACAACTCAGATGCTTCACTATGGATGATGGCGATGCAAGAAGAAATTGAAGCACTTCATAAAAATAATACATGTGACCTTGTGCCACTACCACAAGGAAGGAATCCAATTGGTAACAAATGGGTCTTCAAAATCAAGCGAAATGGTGACGATCAAGTTGAGAGGTATCGTGCAAGACTGGTGGTCAAAGGATATTCTCAAAAAGAAGGTATTGATTTCAATGAAATATTTTCTCCTGTGGTTCAACTAACAACAGTTCGAGTAGTTTTAGCAATGTGTGCTACATTGAACTTACATCTAGAGCAACTAGATGTTAAAACAGCTTTTCTTCATGAAAATCTTGAAAAAGAGATTTATATGCTCTAGCCTGAAGGTTTTGAAGAAAAATAAAAGAAGAACTTGGTTGCAAGTTGAAAAAATCTCTGTACGGTCTAAAGCAGGCGCCGAGGTGATGGTACAAGAGATTTGATTCCTTCATTATGTGCCTTGGATACTGTAATATCCTTAATACGGGGTTAGTGACTAAATTATAAAATTTTAGAATTTGGAGATAAAAGTTGAATAGTTCAATTATTTATGTGGAGATATTTCCTGAAAGTTATTAATAATTATTAAAGGAGATTAAGGGAAAAATGGTCTTTGTTAACTAAAGATAATTATCTTATCTCTCTATTAAGAGTTAAGCTTGTGGGGAGAGTTATCTAGAAAACTCTTCTCCCTTCTTCTTCCTCCTCCACGTGAGAGCTCAAGCAAAGGTAATATTTCTTGTTGTTGATTATTAGCTGAAATTTAAGGTTGAGTTTTGATTATTAGGTGATAATTAAGCATAAGAAGAACTTAAATCATCTTGAAACAATAAGATGAAGAGAATAGAGGGAATTAAAGAAAAGAGAGGAATAAGTGAAATCTTAAAAGAGGGTTCTTTAATGAGGTTTTAGAGTAAATTTGACTTGTCATCAATCTAATTAACATGTATGAAGTGTTAGAATTGGATTTGTAACATGTTAAAATTTGGGTATGATTCTTGAATTTCTCAAGGAGAATAGGATATGGAGGTAAAAGAAGTGATTATTGAGTAGAAATGAGTGCAAATATGTATATGTAAGTTAGGAATATGAAAGGGGATGAAATATGAAGCATTTGAGTTGAATTAAATGGATTTTCGGGCTTAAAATGCAAATTTTGGGCAAGGTGTATCGGTGCACATTCAATGTGCACCGATGCACTCTTTAAAGAATAAATATCGAATGCAATTGGTGCATCGATGCATAAGGAGTGCATCGATGCATCCCTTTAAAAATGAAAACATCGAAGGTAATTTGTGTATCGATGCATGGGTAGTGCATCGATGCACATGTTAAAGAATGCATCGATGCACTGTAGAATGCATCGATACACTTCAAGGGGAAATTAAAATAGACATTTCTTTTGGTCTAAGAAATGATAGATTAGTGTATATCAATTGGATACTGATATATATCAATGTATGATTATATAGAGATCGAGCACGAACAAGTCCGGGTCGATTGATAAGTTAAGATTTGATCGAAAGATAGGAAAATCATAAAGTGTATTGGAACGTGGTGAGGCCAAGGTGAGTGCAATTTCATTGTACTTATGTTATAGAATAAGCATTGGCTTGCGATGAGCCAGTGACGGAGTTACTATGGTAAAAAGTAACTCATAAAATGTTATTTGATTTGTGAATTCTATGTATGCATGAGTATATGTAACATGATTTATATGATTGATATGATATGTGATACTGAACTATATGAATATATGAGAATATTATATCAGTGGTGTGATAGATTTGATATGTTATTTTATGTGATACATGTTTACCTGATCATAAGACATGAGTTATATGAAAGAGAAAGTATATGTGATACG